AATAAAAAGTGAAACATCTTCACTTTTTAAAAAATAATTCTACTATAACTCCTCCTTATATTATACCTTTCAATCTCATTTTTATTCCTTACCCTCAGCTTTACTCATCTTCCATGGATTTGGACTTCAAGGGTCTACTCTTAAAACTACAGCTTTTAGGGACACCTGGCTGGCTCATTTGGAAGAGCATGCAACTCTTTATCTCGAGGTTGTAAGTTCAAGTCCAACACGGGATACAGAAATTACTTTAAAATAAAAATTTTCTTTAAAAAATACACCTTTTATTATTTCTTGCAGAAATTTAAGTTGTGACCTAGTCAAAACCAGTTTCTCTGTTTTCCTACTCACTCTGGGTCTGTTCCATTCTGTAGATTTAGTCAACTAACATTACTGGCCTCTGATCTAGGGGACACCTAGAGGATGGCCCCAAGTTCATGTTTTGAAACAGAAAACATGGAAGGGCACTAGAGTAGAATATAAAGGCAACTGGTAGGTAGAATTTAAAGACATCTTACTAGATTCCACTTAATTACCCATCTAACTTATCTGAGTTCCCCTTTGTTTTGCCCAATATTTAAGAGGTAGGGAACATTTAAGGGAAACTTCCTAGTTAGGTATAATCCCAGTATGTAGCTAAACTTAACCATATTAGATAAAAGGCGTGCTGAAGCAAACTAACAAAAATTCTGTACCTTACAAACCCCACCTCTTTATTTGCATTTAAAGGACTTAAATGCATGTACTTGAATGCAGATAAAAGAATTTTCCAACTGTTCCTCAAAGAAATGGTTGGTACACTCTCAGTGGTCAATTTTGTGGCATTCATATCTGCTAACAGACTGCCATAACCTATTCTCAGTTGGAATTTGAAAATTATAGTATGAAAAAAAATTCTTTGTGAAGAAAAACTCCAAAATGGCAATAGTCATTTTATTATGGGAGAGGAATGGGTATATGGAGGAGGCTATGCATATTTCCTCTTCTCTCTTCCAAATTATCCAACGGAATTTAATAATGACAACAGTAAATACGAGAACCTGAAATTTGGGGTCCAGTAACAACAATACAGTATTTAGAAAACACCAACCACCAATTCCCTGGGTACTGATCTGATTGCTCTCCCTCCGCATAGAAAGCTCTAGGCTACACGGAAGGCAATCCAGCCTACTGGTTACAAAGAGACTGTGGATTAAGCCACCTGCTTTCCATTTTGGCTCCATCACTACTAGTCTCAGGACCTCAAGCCAATTAGTTACCATCTCAGTGCCTCAGTTTCCCCACAGGTAAAATGAGTACAAAATGCTACCTACCTCTCAGGGGTTGTTGTGAAGAGTAAATGAGCCTACTTATAAAGCACTTAGTGTCTGGCACATAAGAAGGCCTAATAAAGGTTAGCTACAGGTGGCTATACATAATGCTTCATAGAGGGTGATAATTGCTTATTACTGGATTTACAAGACAGTTACCAACCGAGTGGCCAGTTGCCATCTGTTAAACATACAGTGGCCTAATAAAATGTAATCAGTGAGTATCTGAGCACTTAGTGTAGCACTCTCTGTGAAGACTCTCCAGTAGAGCAGGTAGTCTGGAACTCAAGTTCCAGATGAAACTCAAACCACAAAGCGGTAAGAAAGGGGATCCAAGAGTAAAAGGTAAAACCAAATGCTTCTGGGGTAATAAAAGCATAAGGCCCCAAGAGGAAGCTAGATTTGCAGTAAACCCAATTAGCACAGTTTTGTGACTTCTTCACCAAACCAGTGGCAGAGAAGCCCAATTAGCAGAGCTTACCCAAGGCTGGGAACTGACCTGAGGAAAGTGATCCAGGTAGGAGTCCGGGTAAGCATCCAGACCACGTGAAGTCAGACTAATAATGACAGAGAACTGAGGGAGATTAGAGGATTGACCAACAAGGATAAAACCAGAGCACAAACATAGAAGCATCACCTGGGGAGCTTTTGTAAATGCACAAATTCATGTTCCAGAGACCCTCTAGATCAGAGGTGGAGCCCAGATGATACTATTTTTCAAGTTCACTGGTGATTCTGATGCATCCCTCACACTAGCACAAAGTAGGAGCCCAACAGTGGGAATAAACAGAATAAGTGATTAAAAGCTGAGTAAGTCAGGGAGAAACTTCAAAGTTTGAGATCACAGACATGAAACAAGTTTAAGTGAAAAGTTCAAGGTGCATAAAGGTCACTGGAATTTGGGGGGCAGTGGAGTGCTACAAAATGACAAGGCCAGCAACAAGGTTAAAGGGGAAATTGCATCATGTGCAATTTCTCATTTAAAGGGTTAGAACAATGGTTCTCAAACCTGCCTGAATGTTGGGATCCCCTAAGGAGTTCTTAAAATCTGACACCCAGGTCACACCTCAAATTCTGGAAATGAGATCCAGGCTTCAGTATGGTTTAAAGCAACCCTATGACTCCAATGTGTACCCAAGGTAGAGAAACATGAGCTAGAGAGGCTCCAGGAAAGCAGCAGGCTACTGGAATGAGGAAAGACATAAAGCAATCTAACTCAGTGCTCTCAAACCCTAGTATGTATCAAAATCAACTGGAAAGCAAGCTGTGTTCTACAGGATCACCAAATTCCCCAGGAAACTCTGAAACACACAAAAGTTCGAGAACCATCGATCTAAGTGACTGGCAATAACTCCAAAAGAGAAACTGAGAACAATGAGCAACCCCAAAGCAATAACTAAGAAGAACATTTCTACCCCTCTCAGCCTGATGAGGCTATAATGAACACAGGAGGCCATACTAAACATTACCAGAATCAATAAGCCAGTCAAAGATCTAGCAGTAAAACTAGGGCACCACACGTGCACCTGGGTGGCTCAGTTGGTTGGGCCACTGCCTTCGGCTCAGGTGACGATCCTGGAGTCCCAGGATAGAGTCCCTCATTGGGCTCCCTGCTCTGCAAGGAGTCCGTTTTTCTTCCTCTGACCCTACCTCCCCCTCATGCTCTCTCATCTTCTCTCTCTCTCCGAAATAAATAAATAAAATCTAAACAACAACAACAACAACTAGGGCACCAGAGACTAAACATATATGATACTTATGACCCAGCCATCCTTCACTTCAAAAGGCATCTCTCAAAACATTCAGGTCTGGGGACACCTGGCTGGCTCAGTCTATGGTTCATGCAACTCTTGACGTCAGGGTCACGAGTTCAAGCCCCATGTTGGGGGTGGAGCCTACTTAAATAAACTCAGATCTGGCTTCTTGGTGGACAATATAAGAAAGCATGCATTGCCACCTGCCTTTCAGAATTAAAGACTTAAGTCTTTAAGAATCTAGAAGCGTTACGGACACAAACACAGACAGACAGACACACACATACACACATACACACACACCAATAAGCAGAGTATAACTCAGAAATTCTCATTACCATGTAGAAAGAAACCCCAAGGCATATTTAAGTTATATTTGGAAGATCTGAACCTTGTTATTTCTCATAATGGCCAAATGGGTAACTTAGGAGAGGTAAGTATATGTAACTTCTACTACTCGATGGTGCACTTTTCTCCCAAAATATCATGACTAAGCCTAACCACATGAAATACCATTAGAAGAAAAACAAAGAAAAATTAGGAAATGCTTCACCTAGCGACACAATGATACGGTACTTATGACTAGTTCCAGCTTGGTGTTAACGGTACTTATGACTAGTTCCAGCTTGGTGTTAAGTATTTCATTTAGAATGTTACATTTTATCTGATAAGATTCAAGAGAATATATTCCCTTGCATATGACCAACTCATCATCCCATCAGAAATCTCTATAGCAGCACCAGAATTTTCATTTTCAAGATACATGAGCTTTTGTCAAATGGTGACATCTCTCCAGTAATATGAATTTTCAATATGATATAAAAAATGATGGATATATTACACATTTCACAGAGCACAGAGAACAGAAGCCTGTCAATGAATTTAAAATTTGTGACAACCCATTTGAAATTTTACACTAAAAGACCTGTACACTTTCATAAACCATATAAATGTAAAACAGGTACCAATGTTTTCACATGCAACAAGGAATAAAATATTCCTTCCTAACAAAGTTTAACTGTTGCCTTAGTGCATTTTAATTACATATTTTCATCAGCATTACAGCTGTAAAAATGCGACACATTATACAGCCTTCAGAGTGCAACCGATAACTTAAAATCCTTGTAATATACTTTAAAACAAGGCCACCGGAGTTGCCCCACCACCACCACGACCCCCATGTGAACTTGGGCACAAATCACCAAATGTACGAATGTGCAGGGCTTACTGCAAAGTGCAAGTCACTGCATTAAAAAAAGGAAAATAATAAACACCATCTGCATTTTAAGTCAGCCCTAAGTGATTTAGATTTCTTCATCTGAACCTGGCTTCTTTAGCAATCTACAGATCCCATTTTACAAAATGACTTAATAAACGCTTTTCTACCGAAGTCAGTCATTAGGCAAAAAAAAAAAAAAAAAAAAAAAAAAAAAAGCGTGCGCGCACATACACACACACAGAGAGATAGAGAGAAATGAAAATTTTCCTAGTAATGGAGGAGTTAACCAGAAATACGGCGATTTGTTTTCACGCTGCAAAACCCGAAAGCAGGTGTTAGGAGAGCCTCGGGGAGGGGGCGGGGAGGAGCCCGGTTGAGATAACGTTAGGTCAGCAAGAACAAGAGACCCGTGAGTGAGTGCTTGCACTACCCGGGGCCAGTTGTGAGTTCCTACCTTGCAGACGTGAACACATCCCAACTGTTACACGTCCCTTCACATCCCTCACCGCCACTGGACACCGCGCACGGCTAATTGAAGTTTAGAGCGCCGGCTCCTTCCAGGGGCAGTAGTATCCCCCAGCACCACCCCACGCCGCTAAGGAACACCCAAGCCAGCTTTGCTCCAGCTGCCAGCAACAGCAGGGGTACGCTAACCCGAGTTAAAGACCTTCCCCGGAGGAGGCACCTACTCCTGCCTGCATTTTTGTTATCTGCTTCCAGCTTCACCCTTTCCAGACCAGCCAACTTCAGCGGAGAAGGATGCTACGCGCCAACGCGTTTTTAACAGGACCCGGACCGAGGGGAGGAAGCTCCCCGTGCAGCGGTCCTCGGCGCCGCCGCCGCGAGCTAGGCTCCCGGTTAGAGACCCCCGCCCCGCCCCGCTGCGCTCTCGCCGGCAGCCCAGGAAGGGGGCAAAGCCACCCGCACCCAAAGTTTTGCTCGCGGCTGTCTGCACCCCCTTCCCCCGTCCCGGGCTCGAGCAGCCGGTCGTGCGGGATCGCGACCCGGGCAGGACCGCACCGAGGCTCCTATCACGCGCCCCCCAGGTCCCGCGGGGGGCGCCGGGCTCCGACCAGCGGCCGGCTCCCAACTTGGGCGGCTGGGGCCGCACGGCTCCGCTCCCGCCGGCGACAGAGCCCCGCAGGGCGCGTCTGACCCGCGAGCGCTCCCGCGGCCGCCCGGCCCGCTGCGTCAAGCCCCGCCGCCCGCTTCGCGGCCCCGACGGCTCAGGCTCGCCCCGGCCCCGCGCCTACCTTGAGCCAGCGCCCGGAGCAAGTGCAGCTGCAGCGCCAGGAGCGCCCACCATCCGCGCCTCCCGCCCGCGCTCAACTTTGTCGCCGGCCGCCCGCCGCGCTCCCCCGAGTCCCGGCCGGGGCTCTCGGGCGCCGCGCGGGCTCCCCGGGGCCGCTGCCGCCGCTCGGGGTCGGGCGAGGACCCCCGCGGCCGCCCCGGCCCGCCGCGCCGCCGCCGCCCCGGGCCATGCTGAGGAGGAGCCGCCGCCGCCGCCGCCCGCGCCCGGCCTCGGGCCCCGCGAGCGGGACGGGCGGGCGGTGGCCGCCGGCTGAGCGGCCAGGTGCGGGGGCCGGGGGGCGGCGGAGGGACGCGGCGGAGGAGAAGTTGTCAGCGGGCGAAATTCTTGTCACGCCGCCCCCAGCGCCCCCGCAGCCGGAGCGCCCTGGCCGCGCCGCGTCTCCCGGAGGGTCCGGCGGGCTCTGAGGAGGAGGAGACGTCGCCGCCGCCGCCGCCGCCGCCCCCGCCCGGCGCTGAGGAGAAAGTGCGCCCGCCCGCGCGCCGGCGCTAGCTCTCCGCCGCCGCCGCGCCCCATTCACAGCCCGGCCGCACGCGCCGCCCGCCAGCGCCCGCCGCCGCCGCTGATTGGCCGCAGGGAGGCGGCTCGCGGGCCTCGCGCCCCGCCCCCACGCCCTCGCCGGTTTTCAAACTCGCCGCGCCCGCCCGCCTGGAATTTCGCGCCCGGCCTCGGGCTCGCCTCGGCGGCTTTCCGCGCCGGCTGCGCCCCCTAGGGACGCGCGGAGCGTACTGCAGGCCGGCGCCGTCTCGGCACGCGCTGGGCGGACTGCTCCGGCGGGGGCTGAGCTGGCCGCATTGGTGGGGGTGGGGGTGGGGGTGGGGGTGGGGGCGGGGGTGGGGGCGGGGGCGGCGCGGGCCTCGCCCGACTTGGGGCGTGCGGTCTCGCAGGTGGGCTGGCGCACGTGCGGCAGAGGAGCAGGTGGGCCAGGCGGCGGAGCCTCTGGCGGGTGCAGGTGGGCGCGCCCCTCCTGGAGCCTCCAGCCCGCCCTCCTCTAGCCGGCCCTCTCCTCCCCGCCCCTGCCCCGGGATCCGCCCGCTCCGGCCCCAGGGTGGGTGTTCGAGCGGTTAAGCGCCAAGTTACTGGGATTGCAAAAGAGAAACAAGCGCGATCGGGTTTCCAATTCTTAGCAACAAAAGGCACCACTGGGTCTAGACCCGCCGCCTGTTGCCAGCAGTGGACGCTGGCTTTGGAGAGGCGTCCAAGGTCATGTATGGCCTGCGGGAACCACAGCGCCAGGCGCTTCCCGCCAAGGCGGGGAGCCGGTCTCTGGGAAGCGTCTCCTAGGGCAAGGGGCCCTTGGAGGAAGGATCTCTTAGGGAGAAGGTGTCTTAGGGGAAGGGTCCCTTAGGGGCAGGGTCTGCTAGCGGGAAGGGTGCCCTCGGGTGAAGTTCTTCTAGCGGGGAAGGGCGCCTTGGAAGCAAGGGTCTCCTAGCGTCAGGCCAGGGGAGCCCCGAGCAGGGGCGTGGGGCGGGGCTCTGAAGCTCAGCCGCATGTGGTAAGCATTAGCAGGGTTTATGGGGTGAACTAAGAGCTGCGGAGCCTGGGAGGCCAGTGTTTTTGTGGGAGGAGGCCTGGAAGGTGACACACAGTCTGATGCTGTTGGCAGTTGGCCTGGAGGAGCCTGGGGGCATGTGATGATTGAGATCATGTAAGTGGTGATGGCAGCGGGACAGGGCGTGCGCCTGGCTTGGTGCTGGATCTCCAAGAAGCACTGGGTGCAGGTTCCCTGTGATTGTCCGTTGGTTGCTCCAGGCGAGGGAGAGAAGAGCCGGGTCTCGGTCTTCCAGGTTCATGCGAGGGAACTAGCTCCCGCTGCCAGAGCACCTATTGAGCACTACCCAACCCTTATTAAGTCTCAGCAATGACCATGTGAAGGAAAGATGGGGAAACTGAGGCCTGAGAACCATAGCCAAATGGTGGAGGTGGATTCTGACCAAGATCTGTTCCCAGGGCTTTGCGCCTTCCCAAGCCATGCAAGGAGGGCCAGAAAAGTGAGAAGCAGCCCAAAAGGTGGCTGTTCTCTGAGAACATAAGGAAGCACTAGTGGGCACTGCCAGATACAGCACAGATGCGCCTTGAGGCATGTCGTCCCTGAGGACAGGTGGATGAGACTGGGAGAGGGGCGTGTCCACTTTTATTTTCCATTGCAACAGCCCTGGGTCCTTTCTAACCTCAGGACTTTTATGAGAGCCTACCAGAGAAATAATACCTACTGTGCGCTGAGCCCGTACTGTGGGCCATCCCTGGGCAGGAACATCATGACACTAATTCCCACCACCCCCCTGTGTGAGAGGTGCTGTCCCTAGTGCAGTTGGGGACACTAAGGCTTAAGAGGTGAAGCTGCTTTGCTCAGAAATGGGGGGGTGGTGAGGGTTATGAGTGGAGCTGAGGGCTTTGAGGTCCTAGTCTTTCTAGTTGTGAAATCTGGGCAAATTGCGAACTCTAAGTTCCCATAAAAAGTTAGAAATAATTCCCATCTCATGGGGTTGTCGCAAGGGAATGAGATAATTCACACTCAATAAAATGCTAGTTTCCTGTTCCTCCTACCAACTTGGCAGTGCTGTCCCAAACTACCCTTGCTCTGCCCACCAGTGGAGTCTGGTCCATATTTAACCTTTTCCTTTCAAATAGAAACATATGCCCATTATTTTCCTTGCAAGTAGCAAGCTGTGCCCATAGGCCCTTACAGCATAGGCATGAATATGGCACAGGCAACTTCTTGAGTTCAGGACACTCAAAAAATATCCAGAGCCTCTTTTGCTACAATTTACTTTGCAGTTCAGAGACAGTTTTGTGGAAACTGGTTTGGAAATTGGAAAGCCTAAGCCAGTATACCATAGGTAGTAAGAAGAACATTGATTTCTCTGCTACTCCAAAAGGTCCTCCGATTTTTTATTTCAGTATCATCCTGGGTCAGTGAGGCTCTAACGTTGCCTCATTTTACAGCTGAAGGCTTGGAAGCTACAGAAGTTTAACATACACAAAGTAACCATGTTAAAGCTAGAGTAGGAATCTAGCTCTCCTGAGTGCTATTCTAAGATTTTTTTTTCCCCACCAGACTATGTTGCCTTTTACATGACTCATTAGATTACTGTCTTCAGGGATGTGTTTAGACTGTGGCTATTCTTTCTGAAAAAAAGTACTACACAGAAACCTCTTCATAATGCTCAGAAGAGGACTAGTCAGCACAGAGCTAGAATATTTATGCCTAAAACAGCCAATTAATCTCCCCATTTAATTTTATCCAGCCCAAAAAGGTCTCAAGAAGAGAACACTTCATGCTTGTATACTTACCTTTAAAAATCTATAGACACAAATATAAAAAAATTAATAAAATTAAAATCTTTAGCCACATATTCTAAAAGACCATGAGATGGAGGGATTTTACTCCTTAAGAGCTGACTTACTTTTCTTTTTAAAAATGAGTTGCAGGTATCTCCTGCTTTCCAGAGCAAAAAGTTAGGATTTCCCCTGTTTAATTAAAGAGAGAGAAAGAAAGGAGTATTCGAACACATGATCATTTTAGTGGAGTTGGAACTGTAACTGAGGCCACCAGTGTCTTCCCCATTGCCATGACCTAAGGCCTTGCTACTCTAGGTGTGGTCCACTTGCCATCAGCCTTACCTGGTAGCTGATTCAAAACACAACATCTCAGGCCCTTGCAGGACTTGCTGAATCAGAATCTACATTTTAATGAGGTCTCCAAGTAAATTACAATTTGAGAATTACTCCATATCTCCTAAAAACATCTCTCTTTCCTGTTCTCTTCCTCTCTGTCTTTTCTTTTGTTTCATTCTGTCTCTTTTTTCCTTAGAGAAAAAAAGAATTTTGATTTTATTTTTTATTTTAAGAAGAAAATATGCAACTTCATAGAAGACCGACAGACTCAACTGTATATAAATTAAAAACCAAGAACATCCATATAGCACTATAAAAAAAATGTTAAGAGAAACAAGCAACAAACTGGAGAAAGTATTAATCTATCTACATATAAATAGCTTTTGTAAATCAATAAGAAAAATAGATGAATAATCCCTACAGAGAGAGGGGCAAAGAACTAAACAGGCAAGTCAGGAAGAAATACAAAGGGAAAAAAATGTGTTTGACGAGTGCCCAAGGAAATTGATCCAACAAATGAAAAATTAAAGTAACAGAACTTATAAAAAATGTTAAAGCACTAATGAGTGCAAGTGTTGGTGAGGGCATCTGGAAATGGACAGTCATACTACTGATGGAAATATACATTCACAACCTTTCTGAAGAGAAACCTGCAATTCATAGCTAAACTTTAAATACACATTTTCTTTGATCTAGCCATTCTGTCTCACAAACGCACAGAGCTGTAGGTCCGAGGTTGTCCATTGCAGGATTGCCAATAAGAGCAGGAAACAGAAAGCAATCTAAATGCCCATCCAGGGGCGCCTGGGTGGCTCAGTGGGTTAAAAGCCTCTGCCTTCGGCTCAGGTCATGATCCCAGGGTCCTGGGATCGAGCCCCACATCGGGCTCTCTGCTTGGCGGGGAGCCTGCTTCCCTCTCCCTCTCTGCTTGTCTCTCTGCCTACTTGTGATCTCTGTCTGTCAAACAAATAAATAAAATCTTTAAAAAAAAAAAGATTAAAAAAAAAAAATGCCCATCCAGGAAGGTTAAGTACAATATGGTACATCCACACAGTAAAACCTCCTATGATTGTTAATGAAGTAGAGTTAGAAGTATGGATCCAGAAATGTCTACTGTATTCAGTTACGTTTTTTCTTATAAAATTATAGAGAAGTATACATAGAATAATTCCCCTTTATGTTAATTTTATTTTTTTCTGCAAGGATGCCTGCCAAACTTTAATGCCCTTCAGGGGATGTGGAATTGCATGCTTGTCTGTACTTCTTAAATTTTCAAATGTGCCTTGTATTTTATGATAAAAAACAAATAGAGCTTCTTTTTAAAAATCAAATGGTGAAAAGCCTAAGTCATTTCTTTACCCATAACTCATTAAGAAATGTCCCTTACCGGTTCTCAGTGGTTCTTCTGAGAAAAATATTCCCCAGTCCTATTAGAGGACAAGTTGCAGCATGAACTTGTCCCCAAGGGGATGGTGTGCCCTTCCACGTGCAAATCAAGGCAAGGGTCGTGGGGATTCCTTGCATCTGGTTTCCACAGTCTTCTCCTGATGGGAGGTCTACCCTCTCTCTTCATGCCTTGGTAGTTCATTCTAAACTCTCTGCCAGCTGCTAATCCCATCCCACTCTCACCTTTGTTCCATCGCTTGGCAACCGACTAAGGAGCCACCAGGTGCAGCTTTTGATCCCTAATGGGGCGTGGGCTTTGGTTACCTTAGAGCCCACTCAGCTTTCTGAGAACTTTTTAAGAAGCAAAACTCTCGTGAAATGTTCATATTAAGGAAGCCATGAAGAAGAGAAGTACCAGAAATGTACCCAGCCTCCAAAACCTTGTGCCAGCCCTCTCTAAAAATAACCATCCCTCACCTTGCAGACTG